CCTTTTCTGTGTGGTGTTAGAATGGATGAGTGTAGTTACTTATACCTAAGCCATTTCCCTTAACTTTTTTCTCTCCACTGTGTTCAGAATTTAAACAGTTCAGTCACAGATTACGGGCTGAGCTTTGGAGACCTTGCTCCGGCTTATTTTATGTATTTTGGATTGTTGAAAAAGTCAGGACATATTTTTTTGTGCAAAAATGCACCCTGAGTTTTCCGATGGCCCTTACTTACCTGGAGATGCTTGAGATTTCAACATTGCAGGTCAGATGCTGAGCCGAGAGAGACTTCAGATCCTGCCAGGTTATGTAGAGAAGCCCAGAGTAGGTAACTTGCTCTTCCTCACCCAGTGGTCTACAATCATCCTTTTACTAAATAACCAATACTCTTGATTTTAAAAGTGTACTTCCATAGTTAAGGAGCTAAAAGGAACAACTTTTTGTGCTATTTGGTATAATTCTTAAAATACAATGCTGAAGCCATCTTATAAATTTTGATTAATTTTTGCCAACACGTTACCTTGCAGAAAAATGCCACAGCCGTGTTTTGATTGTGTGATAATTTTACTAACTACTGGAAATAACTTTGTTAGGGTTTATTATTAGGCCTAAATACAGAGCCTTCATTTTACATCATTTAATAAAATCGAATGGTTTTACAAGATTGTTTACAATTTGTTTTAAAATACTTTACTGAGAAAATAATTAACTGTGTTTTATTTTTAGGGTCATGTCCTGTGTTGTGGCCTCATGGTTTAAGTGGGAATAAAGATGAGTATAAGCAGTGATGAGGTCAACTTCTTGGTATATAGATACTTGCAAGAGTCAGGTGAGTACTTCTATAAAGTAAATAGGCCTCAGATTATTCTGATATTTTCCAAATAATCTCTTATGCATTTGAAATTTGTATCAGTCCAAACTGTTGAACTTTGTATGTCTCCCTAGTGTCTGGACTGCTATTTTAAAGCTGTGTTTTACTGCATGGTTTTAACTCTCTGACTCTTTCAAATATGTTGGAATCACCTCAGGCCAGTGTTTGTGACGGTGTGGTGTTCACTGTTGAGCGTGTAGAGGTTGGTGACACAGTGAGGCTGCTGCATGTTCTGTAGGGACAGGCCACGCTCCTGCACCACTGGCTTGGCAATGGAAGTCCAGTTAAAACGTTACTGGCCTTAACTGAAGCTGGCGTTTTCAAAGCTAAATTAACAGGTTTTTGTTTGTTTGTTTGTTTTAGAGTGTTTTCATGAGTATTGTCCTAACTGATTTAAGTTGATCCTTGGTATGAATTCTTACTAATGTATTGGGGGTGATTATAAATATAAGTCACCGACAGTCATTTTAGTTAACGTGAATAGATCATGATCATCCAGGCTTACTGGATGAACTGACATGCAGTCTTCAAGTAGAAGGACTACTGCAAAGGAAAATGTATGGATTACACAAGAAAGAGCAAAGTAAAAGAGGAAAACTGTTAAGTACCAGTGGGGTTTAGGATGGTGAACAGCTCCATTACAGTGGTAAGGACATCTTAATATGAGATCTTACCCTCTGGTTGAAATGTCATGGTCTCGATAGGGAATATTACAAAGCATGCCTTCAATTTACTGTGCTGTTCTAGTAGCAGAGTGACGTTAGTGGTCGCTTGTGACAGAACGAAGGAAGCGAATAGAGATTGAAACTTGCAGGACATGGGGGCTTTGATTTCTGGCTTTGAGACGACTCACTCTCCTTACGTGGTGGCCCACTCTGCTGTCCTTCCCTGTGCAGAGTGCAAGCCTGGAACTCGATCTTGGGGCCCAGAGTTGTGTCGAAGTTCCGGCTGTGTTCCAGCTCTGAGTCTGGCTCTTGAGTGGGAGTTTGCAATACCCCAGTCCATCACTGCTTCTGTTGACTTGGGATAGCTGAGATGATGACACCGACCACGGGGAGGGTGATAAGCTGAAGTAACTGGGCCTAGCCGATGTCATGGTGATTAAGGCCCTGGATTGCCACATTGCCGACCATGGTTCGAGTTCCAGACCTGGCAGCTTGAGAATCACAGGGCGCATGCCCCAAATCCCTGAAGAGAATGGAGAAGGGATTGCAGCAGGCCATTCCCTCTCCCTGTCACTGTCTGTACCGGCACACCCATATGCCCTATAGCAAAAACCTTATTAGAAAAATAAAATGAAAGTAAAGAAAGAAACTGAAGTAACCAGGCAAACAAAGAGTAACCAGTTTGGAAGCTGCGAAATTCATAGATCTTGTTTTTTATTCTTTGTTCAAACTGGTGAACTGACGTTGACACAGGTACAGAAGAGGGCTTTGGGAGAAGGTTGGGAATAAGCCGTTGCCTAGCGGTCGTTACATAGAAACGTGTGAACACATCTGGCTGTTGTCTCATGGCACTTTGGACAAAGCGGGATTAATTCCTCGGACTGCTTTCTGCTTTTGAACCTACTTGCCTTTTAAGCCTTTGAGGCTTTGGACACTAAGCAGAGACCACCTGGCAGGTCAGTGGTTGGGAAGCACTGGCCAGGCACAGGGAGCAGTCAAGGCGCAGATCCGGCCTGAAGCACGTGCCGGTCCTGACCCCAGAGACCAGGAACAGCCGCTCAGCTCTGCTGCAGCCCGGCCTGGGCCGTGACCGGGCGCGGCAGGGGCGGTGCCAACGGGCACGCGTGTTTGCCCATGTCCAAGTGGAAGCTCACCAACTGATATTTTTCATTGCTAAACAAAATAACAGTGAGTAAAGGGGCAGTAAAGTAATACTCTAGATTAATTTCTGTAGGAGCATCCAGGAACTCAACATTATCAAAAATTTCCTTAAAGCTACGTCATGTTTTTGGAGAAAACTGTCCTGAATCCCTTGTCTTAATGTGTTGCATGTTGCAGTAAAAATAAAGTCAGATTATATTTTGAAACACTCTGTGTGGTACAACAATACATGTAATATTAGTAAGTTCTTTATCATTGTTTTCTGCATTCTTAGGTGTGCTTTGTGAATTCTTTAGAAAGTTTCAGACTTCCCAGTACTGTCGACGAAGTATGTAAGTCACAGCTCAGAAAATGTGAACACCAGTCCCTTGACAAGGATTGTAGCTCCCTGCGTGCACCGTGGCATGTAGGGACGTCAGGTTCAGCGGGTGGCCTGTGCCCCTGCAGTTTCCTAGGCTGCGCCTTGCCGTAGACTGGAGCACGCACGCCCAGAGCGCTGAAGGGCAGTGCCCTGGCCACCCGCCTCGGGGCCAGCGCTCGTGTCTCACCAATGCCCTGGGTTTCTAAGGCCTCGCAGAGTTTGAAAGCTGCCTGTCTGGGTTGGTTGTCGGACAGTTAGGACTTGCCACGACTGTTGGCAGCAGGTGTGCAGCGTGCTCACAGTGTCTAGGAGGAAGCACCATAATCGCCAATTGAAGGTGGAGTGCAAAGAGCATGAGTACACGCGGTCACTGCGGATGGGGATCTCCTAAACAAGGGCCGCCATTGACAGTGGTGTGTCTGGAGCCAGCAGGTGGCATGGCATGGTGGCGAAGGCACTGGCCTCCCACATGGCCAGCCACGGTTCGAGTTCTGGGCCTGGCAGCTTCCCTTCTCACTTTTCTTACCTCCCTCTCTGTATCTCTCTCTGGTCAAATGAAAAGAAGAATAATAAATACAATTAAGTAAATATGTCTTCCCCCAAAATGGTGTGTCTTTAGTTGAGGGCAGGGTTTAATAGGAATGTAGCATGTTTATGTCATATAAAGGAAGCCATGCGACAGTCGTTTGAAATTTCTTCCAGAAAGAGGAGATGTGGAGGCAGCAGGTGGCGTAGTGGTTAAGGCGCTAGACTCCCACATGGCTGACTGCGCTTCAAGTGCTGGACCCGAGGGCTTGAAACTCATGCCAGGCACGTGTGCATGCGTGCATGCCCAAAAGAGAAGAGACTGGGAGAGAAGGGATTGCGCATGGCCTTCGCCCCCGCGGGGTGATTTCTCACTTTTTCTCTCTCTGTCTCTCCGGCGAGTACACACGCCCTATAGCAAAAAATCTCTCAAAAAGAAAGAAAGAAAAAGAAATAGGTGTGAGTGTAGGGATTTTACGGTTCCGCAAACCTCAGGACAGGGTTCAGAGGAGCCTGGGCCCTGCCCATAACAGATGCCCGTGGTGGCTCTAGGTCGGGCGCTCGCCACTGCTTTGGGAAGCCTTTCTCGGTCCTGACCTCGTTGCACAGAATAGGGCTGTTTTCGCAGTGGGTTCTGATTTGGCATTGCCTGGCCCAGTGGTTCTTCCTCTGAGTCGTTTGACGACCCTGTACATGACAGCCATAACATACAAAGGCTGCTCGTTGAGAATGAGTCCATTTAAATAGACATCTACGAGATACAACCTGAACTACTTTCAGGTTTTAACCGTTTTTCTTGAAAGGTTTAAAGCACTAGAACAACCTCCCATCTCGAGGGTGCTTCTTTCCATACCGAAGGCACCGAGTCGGGTTAGAAGGTTTGCACAAAGACCGTCCCCACAGGACGGGGAGACGGTCCCCACTGTTTTTCTAAATTCTGTGTTGTTGATAAACATGTGGCTTTGTGACAGTTTTTAGTTAAGAACTTCTCCAACATTTGTTCTCCACAGGGTTTATATTTAGTCTGAAATATCTTATGCTATAATCAGTGCCAGAAGACATTGTCAGTGAGCAGTTCCCCCCTGAAGTTACGTAACTTCTCAGAGTTTATCTCCTCGTCCATAAAATTTATTGCTTGTTGAAAAGGGATTTCCTCGTGCTGTTCAACCCGAAATGTCCAATGAGCTGTTTCAAACAAGCTATTCCCGACTCTTCACAGCTAATTAAAATGATACTTATCCTTGGGTTTTTTCTAAGTGTTACAACTTTTCCTTTTTTTTTTTTTAACTTTGTCTTTAGAAAATTTACCCTACGCACCTAGCTTTGATCCTCACAGTCTGCACTTTTTCGAAATAGAGTTCTGTATTCAACAGATATTTCCTAGGGAATAAAGTCATTTTTCCTCTTGGAGATGGCTTGAGAACTGAGTGTTTTTGACACAGAGCGCTGACAGCGACAGCTGCCTGACTCCGCACTCCCAGGAATGGGTGTTTGCCCAAGGGCGTTCACTCGGTGGTCCTAGGCATCGAACTGGTGACCACGTGCAGATAAGTACACACTAGGCTGTGTTAATAGAACCTGGTACAGTGTTGATTTTAGAGAGCTGAGTTGGTGTGGATATTATGAGTTTACCACTTGCCCGACTTTTGTCTTTTTGCATTGCTTTTGACCCTATCTATAGTTAACCAATTTGGGCTTATTATTTTTTTTTTCCTGGAGAAACTGTTCCTAACAATTATTTGTAGACATTCTGGCTCCTGTTTTTCCTGTAATTTTATTTTGCTTATACGGGCCGAGTATTCCTCATCAAAAAATTTAAAATCTGAAATGCTCCAAGATCCAGAGCTCTTTGAGCCCTGAGAGGACACAAGTGAAACAGGTCCACACCTGCCTACAGTGGGAGCGCTGCAGCACAGATACGTCCAGATATGTCGTCAAGGTGCTTAAGCAGTGTGTGTAAGTGCACATGGGGCTTCAGTGAACTTCATGTTTCTACCTCCGTCCCAGTTCCAAGAGATCTCAGTATATAGGCAGATATTTCAGAATCTGAGACCTGAAACACTTCTGGTCTCCAGCATTTCAAATAAAGGATACTTGTACTTGTTTTGGGGAAGGATTCCTGATACTGCATGTAACTGTCGTTTGTTACATGTTTGAGAGTTCGGTCACTTCTCTGTGACGGACCTGACTTGAAGTATGAGATAGTTGTGTCGTCTGATCGAAAGACTACCCGGAAATTGCAGAAA